AACCCAAAAAAGTTTATAGAAGTGACCAACTGAAGAACACGGAGAGCTTCTCCACCGGATTTTCTTACCACGTGGCATCCTCCGTAGTAAAAATATTTTACGTTTCTCCCACGTTTTAAACGACGCATATCTCTCGACACGAACTACTACTCGACTGGGCCCCGGAGAGTCCAGTTGTCCAACCGACCAACCGTTCAACTATTCGACTGACCGACTGTCCAACCGTCCATCGCATCGTCCGGTTCTCGGACAGAAGATATTGTTTTTGTAAGCATAATTTATACAATAAATCGGGAAAATTGTTTTGTAACCGGAGAGAGTTGTCTGTCATCGACACTCCCAAATTGGCTTCGGAATTGCTCGGATATCCCGCCGTTACGCGCGGTTAGGCGACCCGACAGTTGTTTGAGAACGCCATCACACCGGAAGTAAAAGACGTGCCGCCTATCGGACAGTCTCGCATCGGCGCGTCGAATTTTGGACAGGGATTATACGTCCCTTAGGGAAATGGCCGGCTAAAGTAGCGTACACACTGGTCATTTCGGGTACACGGAACCTGGGCCGCACCTCTCGGCCAAAGCGCGAAATGGCCAGCCAATTCGGGAGCCGGCCGAACTTCGGGTTTTGGCCGTAACATATACGTATATCACCCCGACAGTTTTTCCCTTATTAATTTTACATTCGCGAGAAAGTTTATTTTTGTAAAATTCATTTCGTCGATATTTCGCACCGTCTCCTGATCAAAATGAAATATTTGTGACTCGTAAATGACGTCGATAACCGGCAAAATAATTCTTTTCTTTTCCATAGCAATTAATTATTATATTTTCAAATTATACGAATAATTATTTCCTCCTTTGGTAGTTAACCGAACTGGCGAATGTCCCGGGGGTAGCCGAGGACATTTCGGGTCGAACCGAATTACTCGTACCGTTATCTGACTATTTTTTACACCTGGAAAAAGTTAAGTTTCTTTAAGGGGAAAGAAAAATAACCGAAAGTTTGATTGGCATAAATCAAAATCAAATTTAAAAATTGTTCTTTATTTATGTTTTACTTTTTCTACGCGTTAAATTAACAAGAAAGAAGCAGCTAGAAAAAATAACTTTCGAGTCAATGTTAATACAGCATTGCAAATACGTGTTTTATATTTCCATCTCTGATTAAATATGCAGTTTATTAGATTACTCACTCCGAGTATACAAGAAGCTTAATCGATACGAGACATTAATTAATTCCACGTTTAAATATTTTGAAAATAAATTTTACGACGGAGACAATTTAATGATTAATTTGTCCTAAGTTCGAAGATGGCCAAAAAAAAAAAAACAAAAAAAAGTATGAAAATTTGTAAAAGATTAAATTGAATTGTATTGTAATAAACCTTTTACTTTTAAATGGCCTAAACGATTGCTGATATTTACAGTGTTACATTTGAATTTTTGCCACGTGCATAAGTGAATAACGTAAAGTACAAATTTAGCTTCGACATTTTCGGCCGGTGTAAAAATCACGAAATTTCCGTACGCGTTAAACACGTTTGACAATTTCGGGTTTATAAGTTGTATCGTCCCTTTCCTCCATCTCGGAAATAAACAAACCGTATGTAAAATATAAAATCTGTTAACCTACGAAGAAAAAGCGTACGTTAATTATTGATACAACTTTATAACATTCAATTTTTGATTTAGAAACTAAATATTAAATGTTACGTAAAAGGTTAAAATGACGCGAAATTTACCTAGAAATAAGCGTGAATTTTGAAAAATTTCGGAATGTAAACGCTGAAATAAAAATTTTATATATTTTTATTAAATTATCTTAAAACAGCGACATGGTATAAGAGTTTGGCGCGAATGTACCGTTAATAGTCATTCTACGGCGGGAATAACTTATTGATAGATAAATTTTATATAACAATATCGTCGACGCGTAGTTAATAGTCCAATACGGTAGATATCGAACTCTCCAATCGCAATGAACTTCCGCATACTTTATCGCGTGGCCCGCAGCGTGTAAAGTTAGTACCACCTACTTAATTCTCCGTAATAATTATTTACAGTATCGCCTATATTTATCTACGTAATTTCAAATTTCACGCTTATACTTTATTATATAAATGGACAATAAAAATAAAACGTAATAACGTTCCGTTTTTTAAAAAATGTTCGGTCCATTTTCTTCAAGAATTAATTTCAAAATTAAATTATAAATGGTAACGACATAATTATAAAGCCCGTTTTAAATAATTGATACGGGATTTATTTCGATTTCGGCGTACGAAAATATAATTAAAATTTTGATGGAAATAATTTTCTAACTTTTAATTAAGAAGTAAAAAGTAAGAAGTAATTAAGAAGTTAATTGTCTTATATTTGTTTTTGTATTTTCGAGTTTAACTCATTACGTAAGTTTATCAATTTCGTATTTAAAATTTAAAAACGGAATAAATGAAAAATAATTACGTCGAGTGGATTAAAGAAGTAAACGTGTATTGGTCGCTTCATTCGGCACTTTGAGTGCTAAGAAATCAATTTCACTTTCCATATACCGCCTATAAATAATCAATTTCCGTACTTTCGGGTTTACAAACAATAATTAATTAATACAGAACGTTATTCTACCTTTCTTAATTAAAAATCTAATGGTTTATTTAAGTTTATTAAATCGCTTTGTTATTTAATTAGCCGATCGTAAAAAGTAAAAATTATTTCAAATTTTTCTTCATATTATTAAGATTACGGGAAATGGTTAAAATGTATATAAAATTATATATATTGGCCGAGAAATGTATAAAACTGCGGGTTGAAATTTGAAGGTGAGAAAATATTTCTTTTATTTTTACCCGAATAATTCAAAAGGAAAGTGTAAACGGGACGTGGCATTTATGTTAAGAGCTGTCTGAGTTATCGTTTTCTTAACGAGACGTCGTCGCGTGTAGACATTTTAAGTCGATGCGAGTGGTTGAGCGAGTATCTCTGAATTTCAATTTGTTATTCGATGAAAATAAAAAATACATTTATTAAAATATAAATAAAGCTTTGGTAGATGATGCGCGTATGTATCGACTACTTTCATATGATTTACGTGCCGAGTTCGCCAGTCCGCGCACCGCACACTTATCGTTATCTCCTTCTCTACCTTCGTAAACAACCAGCTTTCTATTAAATTATTTTTCTCTTCGGCGCGTATGAATACGCGAATGTCTGGCTGTTGGGATTTCGTTAAAATTGTTTTTATTCTAGTTTGAGAAAATGAAACAGCTTGGAAAAGCTACGTACAGTACTGTACTGTACAATACATACTTAGACTACGAAGTACTACGAAACTTGCGTTAAGTGAACGCGTTAGAATTTTGAATTTATTTTATATATAAATTCTTGGTTTATCGCTAGGCCAAGTGGAATATATCTTTGATTGATATATATCAATTTTTTAATAATAAAAACTAAATTATGCAAAAGTAAACGTTGTCTCTGGTCGAAAATTATTTAAAAATGTGAAATTAAATTTTGCGTGTAATTTAAACACTTTGGTATGTATTTTTAATTTGGAAGATTTAGTTTAAAATTTCGTAATTTCTACGTACGCGCTATACAACAATTCTTCCATAAACTCATACACAAATAGCATACAGTATTAGTGAAAATACTGTAGTATACGGAAACTGGTTATATTTACTGTAGTTTTTCTGTACAACTACATTTGTATGTTGTAATATATATATTAAAATTTGTATGTGAGGAAGAAGGTTATGTACTGTACACGCGTATTTATAGCATTCGGCGGGATTATGTATGCGCGTGAGAGCTTTAATTCCTGCAAATTAGTGGCCGCCAATACGTGGAGGGTTTTGGGGTTTAACTCCTCCCATTTGGCATTTCGAAGCGAAACGTGTTACTATGTTAATAAAACAGTACATCGTGTAAAACTTATATTTGTTTGCACCCGTTTATTCCCTTCTTAATCTACTACATTCTATTACTCCGTATACCTATAGGGTAGAAACGAATAAACAGCATTGTGAAAAACTAATACCCGTTCTTTTTAAAACCTCTCTTAAGAATACCGAGCACGAGCCTGTCACGTATATAAAACCGTTTTACTCTACACACACTTATTATAGTGTACGGAAACTGGTTATTCGCAGTTTTATTGTGAAATTCCATAACAGAGAGGTAGACTATGGAAATTATTGGAGAAATGAAGCGGTGTTTTTTGAAAGAAGAAAACTACCGAGTGAACGATGAAAGCGTAGAACCGATCCCAGTGGACGACTGACCCCAGAAGACGAGACCAGCGAGGAGGGACCGAAACTCAAACCGGTCCATCCCAGCGACACCCGACTTGTCAGCGAGAACCAAGCCGAGGTCAACAACATGGAAATGTGAGACTCGGAAACAGGGTGGGGGATTCCTCTACACCAACCTACACGGTTCGCGACATTTTTCTTCCTCTGCCAATGTGTCGTATGAGCCGTATAAAATTAGAATTTTGTAAAACCTCTTTAAAGATATCGGAAAGAGAGAAAAGAGATTATTCGAAACAAGATGTTACCTTTTTCCCTCAATTTTTCCAAAAGTACGTTTGCCTGGCATCACTTGTGGCAATAAGGTCATACTCGTCGACCGTTGCGCCACTCTACAGGAAGTAGGACGGAATCACGTGACGGTACGTCGCGTTCACATGACACGTTTTGTCACGTGAACCGGAGGAAAACAAGGAACTTCTTTAGACGGGTGGGATTTGATAATCGGTGAGTTTCTCCATTTTTTGATGATTTTTGACACAACAATCCGGTTATTGTTTACGGTTAAAATTTTTTCAACCTTATTACCTCCTAACACACTTACAATAATTTAATAATTCAATAAAATTCCATAAATACTAAAAGTCAGATGGAATCGATTTTAATTATTAAAATATTAATATATATTTTCATATTTTAGGGAAGAGAATTGATTATGAAGCCCTGTTTGATACTTATAATTCTGTTATGTTTGAAGTTTAGAAAGTGCTCCGCACATTCCCAAGGATTACGGTATCACGATCAATGTAAGTGCTCATATATATCTGTATACTATAACTAAATCTAGTGATAATTGTATATTATTTCCCTCTATGCAAAAGTATGTATTTTATGCAAACAAAATCATAAGACACGAATTCATTTTATACTCAAATATATAGAAATTGCAGAAATTAATGTAAAATTAAGAGCGCTAAACTTAATTATAGTGTCGCCAAATTAATATTCTCCGGATTAAATAAGAGTAAAAATGTTTTCCTCATAAATTTTAAAGTAATTTTCTCTAGAAATATTTATGGAAATGACTTATTTATTTTTTAATTAAATTATTTTTGTTTGTATGTACTGTACCTGTACAAAAGAGAAGTAAATGCTTAGGGAAGAGCAATTTAAAAATATATTATTTACTAAATTTATATATTCGTACGAACGGTGATGATTTTACTTTAGTTCTAATAAGAAATGACTTCAGAAAATTAAACAACGAAATATCAAAATGAGAAATAAATTTCCCTTTGTCGAGTTACAGCCGTAATATTTGAAATTTGTTTCGTACATATTTTCGAATTTATAAAGTGAAATAAGTTTATTTATAATCTACGTAAATTCGAGGAAATCATTGAAAAGTTTAACTAAGTTTAATGTCACTTTTCTATTTAATTCAAACGTACATTAAAATTTAAAAAATGTAATATACCAACCCGGGAGGTAAACGATCTGAAATAGAGAACATTTTCGATATATTACCCCTGGTATGAATCATAAGGCGTGAGAATTCTCGTGATCTCGTCGATGGAACTCCGCTCGTATTGACCCTTCACGCACCGTAGGTTATCTGTTCTGTTAAGACGAGCGGGTGAATCATTCGAGAGGTGTCCAAAAATCCACTCGGCTCTTCGGGGTCGCGTATTAAGGTCGTAACTTTAGCTGGTTTCTCTTTTATAACGCGTAAAAACTTTGTTATCGCTCGGTGTACAAGCGTTTAAAGCCTCGATATCGCTTTGACACAAACGCTAAATGTTTGGCTTTAACACACGAAACGAATCGATTTGTCGGATAATTATAAATTTTCGTTTAATATATTTTTACTCTTTGCTAAACTACGTTTTAAAATACATTTACATATTACGCTAAAGTATCCCATCTTGTGTAAAGACTTACGCCTGGTATATTGTATAAAGACCGTTCAAAAATAACAATTACTGTTTGTTTTATTACAATTAGATGCGAGTATTCATTAATTAATTGACCGAGAGAATGCAGTTTTTAAGTTTAAGTAGGAACGCGTATAGCCTATTCTAGAAGCAAAAACATCCTAGGCCATACGACGATTAGACTCATAACACACAAAGGTATATAACACAAACGAGTACAGATATAGATGCATTAGATATAACGCATATTTTTATAGGTTTATAAACGCAATACATCCGTTACGTAAACATCGAGACGTAAATACTGCATTAATTAATAATAGAGAGGTTGAGGCGCACGTTTTAAACGTGTAAACGTGTACGTGTGACGTTCGGCGCCGCTTTCCCGTAAGCCTAAAAGTTTGACGATGGTGTTTGGAATGTCGAGCGTGATTCCACCGACTATCCAAACACCATTGTCAAACTTTTAGGCTTACGGGAAAGCGGCGCCGAACGTCANCCAAAAACATAATCAATATGTTTAATATTTAATCATCATCTCAATATTCACCAAAATATTACCAAATTCATTTAATTAATATCTATATATTTCTTACAATACCTACTAATAATTCTTCAAACATACCCTTATTGTAAAATAAAATATCAGTACATACAACGTTAAGTACATAGTAAAGTATACTCATTAAAGTTTAAATGAAACTAATAAACTTATAATACTCTTAGTTACGTTTAATCTGATTTGTAATCTTATAGATCTTTATGATTCCACCGACTATCCAAACACCATTGTCAAACTTTTAGGCTTACGGGAAAGCGGCGCCGAACGTCACACGTACACGTTTACACGTTTAAAACGTGCGCCTCAACCTCTCTATTTATTTTTACGATACTTTCGTCGACGACGTAACTGGAAGATAAACTGGAAAATAATAGGTGATAATCGGTCGATATAATATTCGTTTGCCAGTCACAATTAGGTAATATAATTGACGTTAAACGTCGGTTACGCCTTCGATTTCGTAACCTAATAACGTAATGGAAATTACGCGGAAAGGTAGAAAAGCCGAGATAAACACTTATGTCGTACGAGGCCGTTCGGTACAGAGGCAACACTGACGTGAATGAGCGTTGTTGAATGGAGGAAACGTAAGTAGATAATGTCAGCCGGGAGGGAATTTTCTGCACGTGGACATTGGCCTTTAGTAACACCTGCGTATGTCTGCTTTGACTTCATACGCTAGAGCCCGGAGTGTTTTTTACCGCCTGCACTTTTTCTACTGGCTGACGGGGGTAAATTCTAAAGTGATAGACGAACATTCGCCGTCTTATGCTATAAATATAAAATTAAATGTAAAAAACCAAAAGCTAAAGTGGTAAAAAAAGTATATTTTTAGAAGTAAATTTCGAAATTTCAGCCATTCTTACGTAATACAGTATAAATGTGCAAATTTCGATCTGGTAATGCTAGAATTAAGCTAAAGATCTAAATTAATCGAAACGGTACTTACTGGAAATTTCTTAATTAGTTTTAATGAGTAGAGAAGTTCGGCGAAACTCTCTTGGAAAGATTTTCTCAGAACTCATTCTACATACAAAGAGATGGAAGAAATAAATATGAAATTATAAGTGTAAAATGTAAATGATAACATTTGCATTTATATAAAGTATACGGGCAGCGCGTATAGAAATAAAAAAGAGCATCTCTTGGAAGAAACAGAGAAAAATTGTCTTCTACGTACGAAAGTTCAGATCCACGGACAATTCTTAGAATCTCGGCTGCAATCTTTCATTTACGAGATTACTTTTATTTTCTTCATAAGCATTCTAACCGTGCTTTTTCCCAGACTTTCCAGCTTTTCATTCAACTTTTCTACCTCTAAGTTTATATCAATTTATTTTCGTCGATTTATTAAAATTAATTCAATTTTACGAAGACCGAATAAATAAGTCGATTTGAACATTTTGTAAATTAAGTCTTTAGTTTTAAATGTAATGAAAAATTAAATATTTTCTATTATATTTATCTTAATGAAAAATTAAAATTTTTATTATAATTTTATCATCTCGTAAGCCGAAAATTGTATTAATCCTTTACAACCCCGTTTAATGCGATTTTCACCAATTCCTTAACACCCGATTTTAATTTAATATATTATTTTACTAAGGAAACAAATCTTTTTACAAATTAGCTTCGTATAATTTTTATTTTCTTAAATAAACAGAATGGTAAAACGTAATGTCTCGAGAGGTAAAGTCGCGTTACTTCGGGCGCTTTTCTGCAAAGGAATTCAAATATTATCTGAAGATTCGACGCGAAATTACAAAATATAATTGTTATTATACGAATGAAAAGCCAGTAATTAAAGGATAAGTCTCGTGGACTGAAAATCTGCCGTTTTCCTGGCCGCCACACTCGATTCCACGCGGGATTACTACAAATAAATATTCAAAATCTAATTTAATTATCGGTTTCACGCCCGTCGTTTACTTATTTGAACCGTTCGAGCATTTTTTCGTAATTTCTGCACGTCCAATTTTCCGTCCGTCAAAATTTGGCAATTGCAATTCTTATTTTTTAAAGGAATAAATGAAAAGGGAGGGGGATTTTGACGCGACGACGGTATTAAACTTTCAAACCGACGCGGAGTTAAATTGAAAATGTCCATCAAGCGAATTTTTCTCGTCAAGTTGAACGACCTTTTCACAGCTGCGAAAGATATGACGCACTAAATGAGTAATTTTTACAACCTGTGGGATGTTCGCGGCCCGATGGACGGAACTGGTTAGTCGATGAGACCAGTCTGAGTTAAACCGGACAAAAAACATGTACAGTACGTACAGTACATTCGACGTTCTTCGCCAATCAATTAACGCCGCCACGCCATTGGTCTTTGCAATTATTTGTATGATTTTTGCCTTTCCCTTTCCCAAACCGATAATGTTATTTTTCGTTTTACCAGGGCGTTCGCATACTATAAGTCAAAAACCCTGCACCGATGCGGACGGCATCGGCGGCGTTTGCATGTTTCGGTGGGACTGCATAAACATGAAAGGCCTGATGCTCTCCACCTGTTTGGACGGTTTCTTATTCGGTGCCTGTTGCTTCCTCGGCGCTAACCACAGCCTTTCCGAAATGGATTCCGGCTCGTCGCCCTCGTCACCCGTCTCCGTTACTCGGGCCCGAGAAAATACCACCACCACTCTTGCGCTACTTTCCTCGTCCACCCTCGACCACGGCTCTTCGTCTTCCACAGAACTCTTTGAAGCCGGTGACGGAAGCGCCACCGCAGAAAATTCTCACGTGGCATTTAGCAGTTTGTATCCTTCTTTCTATTCTTCGGCGCCGTCGTCTCCCTTAATTGGTTCGTTGGCGGATCTCCCGACCACTCCGTTGTCGCCGTTACCTTCTAACTCGTTCCTACTTGAGAGTGGCGAAGAATACTTATTATCTTCCCATCGCCTTTCCCCTTTTTACAACGATTCTTCGTATCGTTTGGAAGAGGTCCACGCGCTCAGTAATTCGGAATTAAGTAATTCTTACGAAATAAGTTGGTCGATTCCAAGCACGAAAGACTGCGTTTTAACTTCTAGTCGCCTTTTGAAACCGTTATCGGCAATATTTCTTTCCCAAGAGGCGGAACGGTCGTCGTTTAATCCGGGAGAGAAATCGTCCGATGTAATAACTATCTCGAAAACAACGGAGATAAAATCTTCGGTAATTCCTGTGGAAGAATATTATAGTTTGTCGTCTGATAAAGTCACGTTATTAACTTATACACCGGTTACGGACCGGACGACGACCGGCGTAACTTCCAGTACCGCCGACCGCCTGGTTTCCGGCGGTAGCGCACTAATAAGCGATATTCTTGAAAATAAAGAAATCGTTTCGTCGTCTACGTCATTAATTCCTTCTTTTTACTTAAGCACGCACGTATACAATGTATCGACTTTGTCCACTATTGGAAAATCTCAGGACGCTTCGTTGACAAATCACACTTTAAATAACACCGATAATTTGGAAACAGGTAAATGCGTATATTATATTACGTAAACGGTAGCTGTAATAATTAATATGAAAGTTAAAATCAAATGTTTAAATCAGATTTTTCAGAATGCGGCGTCAAGCATCTTCGTCCGTTTGGAAGGATCGTAGGAGGAAAGAATACGTTTTTTGGGAACTGGCCGTGGCAGGTATATCGCTTAAAATATATCAATTATTTTATTTTATAAGGTGAAGTAGGAGTAGATAAAGACCATCGTTTACTTTTACGTTGCCAAATAAGTCACGTACCGTACCGTACCACTCCGCCGGTGGGCCGTGTATTTTGTATTACGACAAAAGATTCGTCTCGAAACACCGCGCAAAACTCGACACGGTAACTTTTTGTTTTTGATTCCAACTCTCGTAAAAATACGGTTACTTTTTGGCATCGGTTTTTTTTCCACAACTTGAATGGCGCGCGCAGCCCCCACTTCTTTCCGTAATAAGAAACGAGAAAAAGCGAAGCGAGAAGTGCCACGAATTAATTTTCTTCGTTGACGCGTGTGTAATAACTAAATATGTATATATTGACGTGAAATTTCTCTTCTTAAGATCCTATTCTTGAGCATTCGGCGGGATTTACAGTATCAAATAACGAATTTCGTAATATATATATATATATGTATATATGTATAAATTAAATAATTACAAATATTATCACTCAGTGTTGACAAGACGTGTCTTTTCGAACATTTTTCAAAGTTTTTCCGCAAGATATTATAAAGTTTTCTAATTGTTCATTTGTAATCGGGGATTGGGTTGAGGTGGAAACCTATGGCTCTGGGGATGTAATCCGGATCGCGGACGCTCGACTGTTCAATTTCACAAATCTAGCGGGACATAAATGAAAAGAAGTTACTCTTTTGCGAAACAAAATAATTTTTCTAGAAATAGAAACATAAGTACAGCCTGGGCATGTAGAGCATACGCTCTGTTTTCAAATAACGTTCCGCATCGCGGATCGCTGTCTCTGTGGTCAGTATTCGACAACACATTTGATTTCAGATTCGGCGCCCTCTTCCTGTGCCGACGAAAAGTAAAGTAAGTTTTTGCCCAAAATTTTCGTTATAGAAAATTTGGTGGCTATTACGGAATGAATCGTCATATTTCACCAGAGGAAGTTTTCGACATTGGGTCGCCAGCGGCAAACGTGAAAGATCGGAGGCCGTGTACGCTCTCATTCTGCAAAAAGGTAACGTCTCGTCGTTGCCGAATGCGGCATTTCTAGCCAAATGCCAAGAAAAGAATAAGTAACTGCGTTCTTCGAGTTGAAGAAAGACGGAAGAGATGCGGTCGTATCGCGGGCACTTTATTGTTATATTAACGGGAAAGAAATTCCTCGTGGCTTAAACAATTCTTGACCTACTCTGATGCATTTATTCCGGATTTACCCGGTACTTTACGCGGAATACTTCGGAAGATATCCGAAGACCGCTCTTTAAAATGCGAAAAACCGTGTCTTTTTACATCTAAACGCTAAGATTTACCCATACGAGTCAATTAAATGTAAATTAAATTTTACAGGTTTTAGTTAAAGAAGAAGCTTGGTTAGGTATACACGTAAAAAATAAATGTGGCGGAGTGTTAATTAATTCCCTGTACGTTCTAACGGCGGCTCACTGTCAACCGGGGTAAGAGTCCTGTAAATTTTAAGTTAACATTTTATCGTCGATTACAATATATCTGCATTACATATTTAGCTTCTTAGGATCGTTGATGGTACTTCTGGGAGAACACGACTTGACCGGCGATTACGAACTGCTAAAACCGGTGAAGAAGAAAGTGAAGAGGATGATCGTCCACCGCCAATATAATTCGCAAACCTTAGAAAACGACTTGGCTCTGTTAGAATTAGAATCGCCAGTCCGGTTTCAATCGCATATTATACCCATTTGCCTACCCGACCGGTGGGAAGATTTTACGGGTCAAATTGCCTACGTCACGGGTTGGGGTAAATTATCGCACGGTGAGTAACTCGTCTTATTTCGTATCTGTCTTTAACCGTAACGCTGACGAGAATTTCCCGTAGGCGGTACTCTGCCGACGGTACTGCAAGAAGTTCGAGTGCCCATCATAAGTAATAGCAGATGTCAACAGATGTTTTTGGCTGCGGGCCACGTCAAGGCCATCCGAGACACTTTCGTTTGCGCGGGCTACGACAGCGGAGGACAAGATTCTTGCGAAGTATGCCGTTATCCATTCTAATAATAATTCTTATTGTTTCGAATTTCATTATTAAAAGCGAGATATTTTAAAGGGTGATTCGGGAGGACCGTTAATGGTTCGACGAGAAGACGACAGATGGGTATTAGTAGGTACGGTTTCGCACGGGATTAGGTGTGCCGATCCTAATCTTCCCGGAGTATACATGAGAACGGCAGCGTACAGAGCGTGGATCGATAACATCATTAAGACATAACATTATTTAATACGTTCGTATTGTTAGATATATTTGTTACTTAATGTTTCTTTTAAAAAGTAAAACATTTCTTCGGGCGTCTTCTACACATCAGTTTGGCAATTTTTAGCAACGTCGTTGTAATATTACGTAGCTTACTGCTAATGCCCGTAAATCGGATAAAGCGGGATTGATCGGATAATGCTAAGTTTATCCGAATCTTTTGGTTAAAGCCAGAACAACAATTCATTAATTGCGAACTTTATCCGTACGAAGCGCGCTTTTCTCCGCTCCTCCAGAGGATAAAGCCCGCATCGTCAAAAACGAACGGACCAAGCCGGAGCAAAAGTTAAAATTCGGTTTTTATCCGGATAACGCCAAGTCGGGGGCGCGTTATAGATCCGCCGGACCCCGGGAAAATTGGAATGAGAGGGCCCGGTGTACGGCGTTGACTTCAGACGTTTTTCTCGGGGAATCTCCCGTATCTTCGTTGGTTTTTTAAGGCCGCGCCGGGCACCCTACGCCCGCGCCACACCGGCAATATAGGGTCTCCGGATACGGGCCAAATTTAAATTTCGATATTCTTAGTACAGTAATGAGTATATAAAAGATGGGTTTGGACCCCGAACAATTGCCCTTTTTGCCCGCAAGATAACGCGCCGCTGCGTGGAGTCTATCTACTGCCGTTGGGGTAGACGACGAGTTTCCACGGGCAAGAACGTAGTATTTTAGCCACTACGTAGATATCGGGAATAGAGGCAATCTGACAATTTCTCGTCAAATTGGCCATACGACGACGACTTTTTCTATCTTTATGATTAACTATTAAACGCCGGGACTGGGTAATATTATTAAATACGATGGAAGACAAATAAAAAAAGAAGATGGTTAATGATGGTTTCGAATACGAACGCGCACGGACGCGCGTAGAAACAAAGCGCGACAAGTAACTTTGAAGCCCAAGTACCGCAAAAATTCGTAAACGTTAAAAACTTCGGCCGAGAATCTTTTATCCTCTTTTCGATCGTATCCGTTAATTACTACGTTCGACTCCTCGCGTGCTCCTTTAAGATCCACTCCGTTTACTGTAGCCTACGCATCGGTGTTTTTTGTAAATCGGAATACTTTATGTAATTAAAAAGTAAATCTATAATTTTTAGCTATATCTGGTGATAATCGGGTGAAATAACCGGGAACATTTTGGTTGGCCTTACTTTTTATCCACCAGAAAAAAATAATTTCTAGTTGATTTAAAAAACGAAATTCCTTCTTTACGCATCTGACCCACATTGGAAAGAGGGTGGATTATCCGGCTAAACCGAACTTTCTAAAATGAAAAAGCCAGAATTTTAAGTTTTATTCCGGCTGCCGTCCATCCGTTTTTTGGATATTGCGGGCTTTATCCGCCGGCGACTGGGATAAAGTTCGAATAAATTGCTACCGGCTTTAACGGGAAGACCGGAAGAAAGATGGCGTTAGACGGTTAATCCTACGTTTATCCGGTCGACGGGCTTTAGCGCAACACATATTTAATATAATACGATTAGTAATTTTTTCTTAACTAATTAAAATTAGTTGTTGAAATTCGAAAACTAATAATCGACGAGTATTATTATGTTAATTACACTGTTTTATTTGTTATACGTTTGTTATTAAACGAAAAATTTTGACTGTTATAAGGATTAACCGTACAAAATTACAAACGCGATTTACTGTTTGAGCAACTTTTAACAATGGCGTGCGCTAGTTCTAACACTGTATATACGAGTTTTAACATCTGGGTCTGGTAAATACACTCCCGACGTTACCAGAAGAAACCAGGCTCGAACACAATCTAAGATAAAGAAGAATTCTTTATAATTTTCCTTTGGAAAACTTACTAATCTAGAAATCGCTAATCGAAGGCACCCGGAGGTTGGAAAACGCCGTCCTAGACGTAAACCCCGTGGCGGCTCGTGCCAGTTAATTACTATACTGTCTTTAGGCAAATAAATAGCCAGGTTGCGGCCGACGTTTTCCGGGCGAAAACCTGTACGCCAAACGTTCGGCGCCGCTTCCCCGTAAGCCTAGAAGTTTGGCCATGGCGTTGGGAACGTCGAGCATCGCCTGGAAAACGTCGGCCGCAACCTGGCTATTATAATAATATTCTTATAGATAAAAATATTTTTATATATTATAAAAATTTCCAATTGTATTTATTTTTATATAAGGCTACGTAACGTAATAAGTAGTATAATTTTGGAAATTTTTTAATTAAGTCGAAACCTCAGCCGATAATTGGATTATGTGTGACGTAGCGACGTCGGTCCCGGCGCTGACGTCGTTAGGGTCGAACCGTTCGTTTCTTTCCTGTCAATGGCTAACGAATTATGCACAAAAAGTGAACTTACTCGCATCTGGCAGTTTCCTCTTTTTTTTCTTCTCCCTTCTTCTCTATCGGTATTGACGGATAGGTCTACGTTTTACATTTCATTTTAGAATCGGAAAGAATTTGTAAATCGCAAACAGCGAATATAATTGATGAAGAACCTCGGCGAAAGTAATAGAATTTTAAAAATTCGCAAAACAAATTTTATTTTTAAATAAACTGATAAATGATAAGCGGCCGCCACTGCCTAAATCGTTTGAACTTAGTTATTCCTATGTAGATAGGTGTTCGGTCATTTACTAAGGAAATGCTTAAATAGAGCCTAATAATTATAAAATGAATAATATAAGTACTAGCAAAATTAATAATTTATATAAAATTATAATTCGTCTATAAATTTGTCGTGCCGCGGCATCGACGACGGAATCCCGGTAACGGTCAAAGTGATAAAAGCCAGGGAGAGAAGGAAGAGGCGTTTTCTATTTACAGCTGAATAGTATCGTTTACTCTTACACGCAGCCAGATATAACAGCCACACGCAGCCAGATATAACAGTATTAGATGCGCCAGACGTAGTATTAGTGCCAATGCTGTTCGCCTTGTCGAGCGGTTCTACTCCAACTAAACTTACCGAGGAAGAAAATGCATTAACCTCGAGCTTTTCGTTGGTATAAATAAGTTCATTTAATTAAAAGTATTAATATTTGACCCACCGTAATCGTCTTCGCTAAAGAAGATTATTATCATTATTATTATTATATAGTATTTCAAGATGCCAGTAAGATACAGCGATTCGTTAATTTTCTGTTATTTTTTGTATAAAATTTGTTTTACTCATTTTAACGTTATTAAATCTTAACTATTGTTAAAAAGTCAGTTGTGACGTACTGTACATTTCGTACCGAGTTGTTAACAGTATTTTCCCTATTGTATCAGCAATAAGGTAATGAATGTTTAATAAATGAAAGTATCTAATTGTTCATTGTTTTGTTCGAATGAAAAGTTTTTTCGGATATTTTGTCTACGTTTTACGGGAAGCAGACGTTTACATTCTCTCAAAAAAGTAACCTACGCGCCGCACCGTTGGGTCCGAATGTCCTACGTACTGTAGACGGGCGGCTACGTGTAAACGATTGTTAAAATACGCACCCTATACCTTTTTTTCGGTTTAACCGGGCCGGAAGCCAACCGAAGAAAAAATGTCTGAATAAAGGTAATAATGTTGGTTACGGGATAATGAGAATCCGAAGAAAAATTTATAAATACGAGAAGGCGTGGAAAACAATGGAATATTATTGGAGACAATAGCTGCCTTCGGCAGTCAACGGTTGTGACATAGCAAAGGTGTTTCGATCGGTAACTGTTACGTAGTTGCATCTGCCCGACGTTGGAGCGGGAAGTAGCCGTCATTGGTCAGTTGCAACTAGCGAAAGGTAGCGTAATCGAAAGAAGCTACTAAATATGACGTCGAAGCACCAAACGTGTTCCTAAACGGGACTACTGTAGAGGGCATTGGGCAGAAAAATACACCACAGCTCCGGAACTGTAGAGTTTGCCCATCCATTAAGAAAAAGGGAAAAATTTATTTAATCATATTTAAAGCCTCGACATTAAAGCCAAATTAAAAGAATAAAAGATTCGCCGTTTAAAATATGCAGCGAGTGTGACGCGTTTTATACCAGCCGTAACGATGCTGTTAAGTGGTGACGTCGAACAACCGTACGAGTTACGTCGTCTTTCGACGACTCTTCGTTCCTTCGTAATTACAATTTCCACAATTTTAGTAGTGAAAATTTAATGGATTTTCCCATTTCGACGTAGCAATAAGAAAACTGAAAACGCGAATCGACCTCAGAAAAATACAATTGTCACGTTGCCAGGAAGGAAGTAACAATTTAATACACACACATTCACGCGTATAGGACTATATATAGGCCTGTGTGTGTATATATACATAAACATATGTATGCATATTGAGAGTGCGTGGTTAAATCATTTCCATATCGGCAACGGATGAAGAAGCCGGCGTGCGACGTAACGCGCCTAGAAGTATAAGAGAAAGCGAGTTTTAGCATATTTATAAAGTAATAAATAAATGGAATGCCCTAACGCCTAGCATTATTATTTATTTTTATTTTGTTATCGGAAATATTCATTTCGATATTTCAAGGTATTATTGGCTCCACGAAATTCATTATTTTAATATAATAAACTTACGTCAACGGACGTTATCGAACAATATAATTTTCTATTATAAACGAATCGTCTGGGCCCGGAAGGGTTTACCGCTATCGAAGGTGGGTGTAAGAGGTGTCGCCATCTAGTAACGAGAGAGGAAACGTCGGTTACCAAAATAATGATAAGTCCGGGGAGGCTGGAAATTGTTAAAAGTAAGATTATTTTTACAGGCGCAAATCTTTTCTACGCCGAAAAACCAAAGGCGTTTCGGAAGTGCCGTCTTCCGCCGGCGAAATTTAGCTCAAAAATAAAAAATGGGCGAAAATTATCCGCTAGATAATCGACGAAGACGTTTATTAAGACTTTGTCTTTCCCTATTTTATCAACAAATAAAAAGTGCGTAATATTTCGTTTAAAATATTTGGGTTACGGTCACCGGCCTTCCCCGGTAGATATACGTATTCCGG